TTGCCATAATCTATTTACTAAAACAAGTCATAATGTCAGCCCCGATTCAAGGAGTGGGAAATAGTCTCTATTTCTTGATACAAAAAGTAGCTGAGTCATGTTGCAAACTTATGTAGGTACAGGAGGGTCATTTATTAGGGCCATAAATCTGCAATCTACCTCAGTGACTTTGGGCAAATCACCTTACCTCAGGAGTCTCAGTTTCATCATGTCTTCACCGAAAATAATACACAAACCAAAGAGTTTTAGTAAAGAATAGAATAATATATCTGTTGATATTCCTAGTTAGCATAACATTTATTAGTGGTAGTTTATCTAATAAACATTATTATTATTAGTTTATCTGAACAGTTACTACATAAAAGCAGAAAGCTTCTTTTCTTTTCTTTTTTTTTTGAGACAGAGCCTCAAGCTGTCGCCCTGGATAGAGTGCTATGGCATCACAGCTCACAGCCACCTTTAACTCCTGGCCTCAAGTGATTCTCCTGCCTCTGCCTCCCAAGTAGCTGGGACCACAGGCGCCCGCCACAGCGCCCGGCTATTTTTTGGTTGTAGCCATCATTGCTGTTTGGTGGGCCCAGGCTGGATTCAAACCCTCCAGCTCAGGTATATGTGGCTGGAGCCTTAGTCACTTGAGCCACAGGCACCAAGCCCAGAGGCCTTCTCATCGTTTAGATTCCAGTAAAGTCTGTTTCAGCCTCAGAGCTTTTGCATTTACTGTCTCTTTCACCTAGAAAACTCTTGTTTCAGATCTTCACAGGAAAAAGCTCTTTTTGCTCAGTACTCAGCTCAGCTCTCCTCTCCTCGGATACATCTCTCCGATCAACCTAATTCCCCTACCCACATCTTCACCGTCAGCCTCCCTCTGGTATTTATTTTCTTTTAACACTAATAATCTAAGAAGTATATAAGATCGTCATTTACTTACTTTTTTTATTGCCTGTCTCTCCGAGTAAAATGTAAGCTCCATGAAAGCAGTCATCTTGCCTGTTGTGTTTACTGATATACTGTATCACAGAAACAGAGTGGGACTGGCACTGAGTAGTGTGAGGCTGGGTACTACTCAGTTTGGCATCAGGTTTGGCTCTGAGGAAATGGCGCATAGATTAGTGACTTTTGTGGGGAGAAATAGGAGGTTGGGTAAAGATTTGGAGTTTGGGGTCATGATTAGGCCCAGTGAGAAGCCCCGGTGGACAACCCTAAGGAGAGAGAAGGCCCATAGCGTTCGGATGCTGGTTCGGATGCCCGCCATCTGAGAACCAAACACAAAGGCCAGTGTTGCTGAAGGAAATATGGTTTATTCTCGGGCCAGCAGCCAGAGGAAATGGTGGACTATTATTTCAAAGACCATCTCATCTCTCTCTCTGCTTAGAAGCAACTTATAAAGGGAAATGGCAAAAGGGATTGGCGGCGGAGAGCAAGCTTTGTGCCAGTTATCATGACTTGATTGATGGTTATCAGCAAAAAATTGATCAGCTGGTGGATCTTGTCATCAGCAGTCTGCAGTTGACCTATTATGGACTTTTGATCTGTTTTTCCTCAAGGTCATTTTTTAAATCTTGTGCCTGATAGCTGTGTAAGCAAGCAGCAGGTTAATTCTAAACTTTCAAGACAGAACAAGCTGAAAGCAAAATGGCTTCCCTGTAGCTAGCCTAGCAGGGTAGTCTGATCGGCCCTTGAGATGTGCTTACAGTCCTGGGTGCCTGGGAGTGACAAGTAGTGCCCAGCAGGACCTTCTTCATAGTCCTGTATGCTTTGAGCCTCACTTTGCATCATTTGCTCCTTTATCAGTTACATTATTACTTTTGACACTTCAAACTTCCCAGGAGTGCTAACTTCTTACTACATAGACTTTCAAACAATAATCTTGCTTTTAGCATCATATTCACCTACTCTCAGAGTTACATGGTGCCTCAAATTTCTAAGTCTTTCAGGGTTCTGCATATGAATTAGCTTGACTCTGAATTTCTGTATTGCTGGCTTAGCTTTCAACATTCTCTCATTGCTAAATCTGTTACTTCTCATTCATTTGCTCTCCACCTTGCAAAATTTTGGTGCTGTCATCCCCTCTCTTGTTCTACCTTTCTTTCTTGTTTTTCTCTTTCTGTCACATTTAATTGGAAGTTGGGGCTTAGTTTTTTTATGTCCCCATGGGAACAGAAAACAAGACCTTGGGTCAAAGAATCACTGGAATTGAAATTGACATCCCTCATGTAAAGTCAGGGCTTTCAAAGGAATGTAACATTAGAGTAAGAGTAGATAAATAAAAAATCCATCAAGTGGCAGAGGAAAATGACAAGGTAGTATTTTTTTACTTTAACTCTGGGTAGGAAAAAAGAATTCTTCTTTAAGAATTTATAGATAAGGGTGATGCCATAGTTGAATTAATACTATCAGGGAATCTCCAAGCCAAGAAACTGACATGAAAATTCGTTTTGGATATTATGATACTTCAGAGTGTCTGATTCTAAGTATATGATGTTTTCAAGAATGCCTGGCTTTGTAGAAGCAAATAGAAAACTACTTTGAAGATATATGCTCTGAACAAAGGCCTGTGGAGAGATTCACAGCTAACACTAAGTAAAGATGATCTCAAAATTCACAATCATGCAGCAAAAGAAAACAATCTTTTAAGTGAGGATCAGGAAACACAAAAACATTAGACTCAAAATCTTTATGAACACAGCAACCTGATGCACACTACTAAGTGTATTTTACAAGTACAGTATTAAAAACGTAAAAATCATTTAGAACCATAAAGAAATAACAAGATACTAAGGACTCTTTGCAAAGGTGACTGCAATAATAATCAGCAATGAGGTATGTAGCACTTTTTCCAGGATGAATTTGAGAACTTAATTGGCCTATCCCCCATACCCTAGTCCACAAGGCAAATGTCATCAAACACTAATATACTATACAAGCTGTGGGCTCTTCCCAAAATCTAATACAATGAGAAATCAATAGCAAAAGATAATAAAGGAGTTGGAAATTCAAAAACATACCACATACATCAAAGAGGAAGTCATAATAAAATTAGAAAATGTGTATAAATGAATGACAATAAAAATTTTATAAACGTGTGGAATGCAGTTAAAGTAATATTTAATAAGATACAACTTGCTTTAATAAATCTGTGGTCTTAAGTTTGCTCTGCAGGCCAGCAAATGATCTGACAAGCTGATAAAAAAATGCAAATTTCAGGCTCTAGCCAAGACTTACTGAATTAGAAATTCTGAGAGTGGAGTCTAGAAATCTGTATTTTGACAAGACCTGATGCATGCTGAAGTTAAGCACCACTACCTTATGGTATATGTTGAAAAAAAGAGAAAAATTAATAATCTAAACACTTTAGAAAAAGCTAAAGAAATGTATTAATATATGGTCAATGACATTTTAAAATAAATATATATATATATAAGTTTTAAAAGAAAGAACATTAACCCCGATCCACAAGTAATAAAAGGAAGAGAATTATAATGTTAAGAATAGACATTTTCAAAAAAAAAAAAA